TTTACAATTTATAAGCAACACAAACGGTATAAACCAAAGGAAATAAGTTACTTTAAGTTACGTTGTCGACAGTAAATTTCTAGATGATTCTCCATTTTCCATTAATCTAAATGGCAACAAAACACTTGCAGCCGATCAGCACACAAAATTTTCTCGATAATCAATTCCTCATACCATTTGACGTCATTTAAAAAGCAAATTGATAATTTACATCAAGTTCTCCACACGCGACCTTAAAAATGTGAACTGGATTAAATGTTTCTACATTTTCATGGATGAATTAATTTTTAACCGTCCTTAATCTGTATAGATCACAAAAACCCTTTACATCCCAGTGGGAACTATATGTACCACGTGTTCTAATAATCAGGATTCATACGATTCCCAGTATAAACATCGATTATTTCCTTAAACAGCTTTAACCAATTTATCTTTGGAATAGCGTTACGTACTGAATTATTAAACATTATTTAGATAAGATTGAAATTCAAATGGAAAATAAACATAAATGTGAATAACCTTCCCGTAGGTTACGTCACCGTCTGTTAGTGATATTACGGAAATTAATAATTTTAACACTCCTCGATCAAGAATTTACATGTAGATATTATGCACATTTTCAATTTGATCACGATTAATTTTGTAATTCACGACTCGCTAATATGAAGTCTTCACTCTCAGATAAATTCCCTTAAAGAATTTAGGGCCTTTAGATTTTCATTTTTTAATAAAAATAAATTTTGATAAAACTCTTATGACAAACTCGTATTTCAAATTACATTGTTCTGTACAAATTTTATAATACTTTAATTTTCTTCTTGTCAAATTTCATTCATCGATATATTAACTACATATTAATATATTCGTGTAAACAATTGCATTAATTGGTTAATAATAGTAATTCATTCAGATCTAATGGCAACTCATAGTGTTCTTCGACCCGAACACCCACCAACAAAATAGCATCCAATCGTCTCAACCAAGAATGAAAATTTGCAAATTCGAGAAAATATTGGGTGTGGGTAATTAATTTCTGTAACCAAGGCCATTTCGAGGAGACTGTCATTCAGAATTCACAGTTTGTTTTAAATCCTAAACTGATAACTTTTTAAATCCTGTATCGGAACATAATTCAGTAGCGTTCCATATTCATGAAATATTTTTAGTAATTTCCTAACTCAGGCTTTCATTTCGTATCACAGATTTTCCTGCATAGGTAACTATAGGTCTCTAAAGGTCACATTTAACCTTTATAGGCAACCTAAAACATTATTCAAACAAAACAACATTTAAACGCTTAATGTAATTTTAATGAGACAGATTTAGTAAGGATTTGGAATCGGTGTTTCCATAGTGACCAACGGTCGTCTTCTAATTCACGATTTTCATGAAAGGGAAACTATAAAGACAACTTAAAAAAAAAAATTCTCACAACTTTTATATTCTTGTGATTTTGCTTCACATGTTTTAACAGCTGAATGTTAACCAACATTTGCCCAATAAATTAGTTATTCTTCGTCACTTTCTTAAACAAAGAGTTGGAATTTCCTGTCTTCTCTTCTGAAAACGTGTGCGAACCTCAAACAAGGTTATGTTTGCCTATATTAGTTTATTTGTACCAAACACAGTGGTATCCTATTTACTTTTCTACACCTCCAGATGACTCTGCCATCGGAGTTACGACTCCAGTCACATCACTTTCCACCTCACTGTTTTTATTTTCGATACGCATGTACACACAACCACAGACACACACACAGATTCTCTCTCTCCTGCCTGCGATCTCATTAATACTGTGCAATATCTCTGAATTCAAACACACAAGGTCACAAAAAGTTTCAATCACGTAATACGATTTCAGATGACTAGAACTGCTACACCTTGTCGCTAGATTACAGCACATGACATCAGGGTACGTAATTCATCTCGTGCTATCCACGAAACGTTACAGAACGAGGAACTCAATAAATTAGCGTTAACAGGTTCAATACTTGTTTATGTCAGTTTCTGTACTGAATACTGCCGTTCGCAATGTGTGATCTGGTCGTACACCCTGTCTATTCTCTCGTTTAAGATCTTGATACTTTTATCTGGCAGGCTGGGCAGAAAGTCCCGGAACTCGGGGTCCGAGGAGTCGAACCTCGCCTGCAGTAACTGTCCCACGTTCTTGTCCCTATGAAGCCGTTTGATGGCGTCCGAAGTGGATCTCCTGAACACGCAGAGCGCCTCCAGCAGCGCGCCGTGGTAGTGTTCGTACTTGCTGAGCAATCTGTAACCGTGCAACAGCCCGCTCTCATTGTCGAAGAACACCAACAGACCTGAGTGCGGTTCCCGGGCGAGGTTATGTGCGGGTGCATCCATCATGGCCGGGTTCCACTGTAGGTTGTACAAGTTGTTGACGACGCGGTCCAGGTTGGCTGTCAGGTAGTCGAACACTATGAGGTCCGACCACTGCGCAAGTTCCACCATGTCGGGCGTAGATTCACCCCTGATGTCCGGAGGATGTAAACGTCTGGTAGAGGTCCTAAGGGAGGAAGGGATGTGGGCTGGTTCGAGGGACGGGACGAATCGGGTAAGAACAACTGCCCGCTCCTCGCTCCACTGCGCTAATGACAACTGGGGTCGAACTCGCGACCACAAAGGATCTCGGAGCCGGACCAAAGCTAGGGAAGAGGGTGCAAGGTTCCTGAGACCCAAGAGTCGTCCGAGATAGAAACTGAATAGCTCCCCCTGGATCTGGTCTGTGTTTTGCCGATATCTGCAGCAGGACCTCGTACCGTCCTGGAAAGTCAGTAGTCTATTCTGCATCCTGCCACAGCCTTCCTCCACCTTGACGACCGGTGTCTTCCGAGCGAAGCGACGCCACGACTCGGCTTCAGATTCTGCAAACCCCGTCGGCATGGAATCCTCCACCTGATGTCCCCAGTACACGCCCCCCTGCAGCAATCCACCTGCGTCTTCCCCCACTTCGAACCCAGGTTCTTGAGGAACTTTCGGCCTAAAGTCCACGACAGGCGGAGCAGAATTCATTACGAAAGAGACGCTAGGGAATTCGGTGGCGGCCTTCGTGTAGTTGGTCCTTCGCGGTGTGGCCTGATCAAGGAACACTCGATTGTCACTACTGGTGTTCGCATTCAGTCGCGTTAAGTACCGTCGCAGGGCGGGAGAGGACGCCGCCCCTCGGGGCAGCACATACAGCGGGATCATCACCCCGACCACTAGTCCCAGAATAAAAGCCAGCCCTGCAGTCAACAGACACAATGTCCTGTATGGAGAAGTCCTCCCGACCTGAGACGTCGAAAACTGATTGTTGTTCCAAGATGTTAGCATAACGAGGTGGTGCGCCTTGTTACGCCGTCGCTTGTTATTGACGTCGTCTGTCACCAACTGTTGCTCGCACATTGTTGCGTTAGTTCACTTGTTCATCCTCAGTTCTGTCCGTACACCACGACACTCATGTTACAAACAATTTCAAGGCTGTCGTTACATTGTCATCCTATAGTGGCAGCACCAGTCATGTTTAAACAATGTCGCATCACTGTTCTTGTTAAGAAATACAGTGTTGACACAAGCCGTGCTTGTTCTCCAAGATTTTGTTTTACGATCTCAAGTTTACTTCGGAACAAGGCCTTCTTTTTTCTCTGCGCGTTGGATGTGTTTGTTTAGGACAAGTCCCTCACTTCTTTTGTTTACTGAAATAATTTAAACAAATGAAGAACAAGTTTCTCCTTTCACATACAGAAATATGCTAACGACTTTTTTCTCGCTTCTACTTCTTCACTTGTGATGTCGGCAATTTAAATAAGGAACATCCTTTCTGAACTTTTCATAGCCGGAAACCGAACCCAGTGCAGCACGTCACAATCGCTGGCTTCCACTCTTCCGGGTCAACTTACACTTCGACACTTCACACACACATTTCATAAACAAGAACACAGATCGAAATGCAGTCAATCAAACAACATCACAGACCACGTACCAGCTTTAGTTTTGTGACAAGGAGAACGAGTGACGACACGCTCACCGCCTCTGCCAGTCTCAGGTAACGGCGACCAACTGATGAGCCGAGGCAGTTCGTACTGTGGGTATGGCACAAACTCGCCGGAGGGGAAATGAAAAATGTGTGGGGTGGGGAAACGGAGAGAAAAAAAACCAGGTTCTGTTGACTCCTCCCACCGCTCAGGCTCTCTCGCTCACTCGATCGCAGTCTGGAAAAGCAAAGGACGTTCATCGGTCAGTCGGGGTGGGGAGCAAACACTGGTCCGTCTTACACAAGTTACATCCTAATTTGGGCTAAGATCAGACCATTTATAATTTTTTCTCTACTCGCCGCCTTTCGGTTCATTTCAAGGACTATACAACTGCTGTTAAGGGAAATTACTAGAAGCTCTTTCTTTATATAATGTGTTCTTTCAAGAGAATCTACTAAAAAAACACACATTTGTAGTCAAGTTTCCAAATTGGTTAAATATGATAAGAAGGCTTCAACACTTCTGTTGTTTATTTACACATTTACAAAAAAAAAATGTAAAATGTTCATTACAGATTTTGAAATGTAACAAATGTAAAATCAACATTATTAAATAAAAAACTTACTATTAACTGGTAGCTACTTAAAAAGTTGACAAATGAAATTGTGCCTGTACTGTTTCACCTACTTTTAAAATTCCAAAATGCAGATATTATATTTATGTTATTGACTTGTCATGGCTAACTACGAAAATTCTTGGCAACCCCAACATTTACCTTATTTGTCGGTAAGGACATCAAATAAATATCTCGCTGTCATGCCGTCTGGTCCATTTAAAACACTTATAAACTTTCCCTAAACATTTATTAATCTGTAGTCTAACAATTACGCGGTCTCTACTTTGTTCCGAAGACGTTCTAGAGTCTACATTACGATGCCAATGTCATCCAATCGGCCGGGGGAACGTTTTTCTAAGACTGGAAAATCACTCAACTGCTTGTATGAATTTATCACAGTTATTACAGCCAAATAATGTTTTATTTGCCGAATAAGAAAATTTTACTAATATTATTTACTAGTCGATACGACTGAAAATTTATGAATGGGAGAAGTATATAAGGACATGTGAGATTTCGGTCATAAGATGGCTGTCTTCTGGGTTGTACCGCCGTGTAATCTGGTAGAAGGTAACCAACATTTCACAGATCCTAGCTACCTCCATCTTCGCCCTGATGATGGAAGCAGCAAGGGCCGCTGAAACGTCTGTAAACGCCTACAGACTTAACGACCTACAGGGCAAGGAATTTTCTCTCTTCATCACCACATTCCTTCGGGCTTTGGGCCTTCCCAGTCGCCTCTTAAATGGGCTCGGAGGATATTTCCCGGGTGACAGAGCTGACCACTCATCTTTGGTCTCGTTGTCTGGCATCTTAATTCCACGCTCCCATACGCAGTTACAACACGGTACTTAGATGAATGTCTTTGGGTTGTTGATTATAAGGTCATACAGCCAAGAAAACAGCCAATTTTGTAATCATCGCCGTGAAAACCTCTAATACTACCCAGTATTTATTTATGAGGAGAAGTAACTGAATGATACTGAACTAACTTATGTAACAGGATTCCATATTAATCTTTACTCGTTCACTAAATAGGTGTCACAAGAAAAATCTTTCGTATAATCTCGTGTTTTGTTCTGTCGAAATAATTCAGATTTTAATATTTCGGCTCATGAAAATCAATCTGATATATGATTGTTTGTTTTAACTTTATCTCAGTTTCCATAATTACAGATAACGAAATATTTACTAATATCTCACGTTAATATTATTGTTTCAATTATGAAACGTCCATTTATTCTTTCAATTATTCTCACAAGACACAGTCAGTCAAATAATACACCCTGACGACAATGCGTCATCGTTCGTGTATAGGATGAATCTACCTCGCGTCGTATTCCGCCAACATCTCACACTATGCGCCTAAAGTCATGAAATTACTTCTACAGAAGATATCGCTCGAGGTTCATAATACGACGGTATCGTTTACGAATTAAATCGAGATCTCTTAGAAAATGTACGAGTGAAAAATGTTTAAGGGAATGAAACTTTGTGTGGTGATTGGGGTATTGGTAGGCCTGTGGGAAATAACATGGCAAAGAGAGAAATCGTAATTATCTTTTGAGTTCGGCAATGGAAACCAAAGAATCATCACAGATAGGCAAAGTCTGAAGTTTCCTGACGATGGTGCGTTTTAATATGTGAAATAGTTCTTTAGGACTAACCCATTGCCTAAATTACGTGATTATAAGAACTGGACCTGGTCCTCATCTGAGGCCAACTCAACCAGGGGGCCCAATATATAGGCGTTCTGCCCTCTTACCCACTTTTATACCTGAAGCCGGTAGCAGAACTCCGTTTCCAAAAAAATATCTTTTTTATAATTTAGAGAATGGACGAAGTCCACAACGAAAATTTTAAATGTTACAAAAAGAATTGTAAAATTTGGTACAAAAGAACTTCATAACTTCTAGACAAGTTTTATATGGAACACTTTTGAATATAAGAAAAGTAAATTTGGACGGTAGAAGAATGAAAAAATATAGTGAAATTGATATTAAAGGAAGGCTGTTTTACTTGGTTCGCTGGAAAGCAAAGATCAACACAAAGCACGTCAGTGCGCTGAGAATAACCAATTTTAGTACAAAATTCATTGCAACTTCATCGAAATTATTAGTGAAATTACAATATTAATTAATGTATTGCCTAGCACGGTAACTGACGATAAATTCCTGAGGCAAGTGCGGGTTTGTTACGGGCTTCTCACAGCAGAAGCCTCAGTTCGTGCCCAGGGCAGTATATGTGAGCGGTTTTCGTCTTTTAATATCAATCTACGGATACTCTGTATTGACTAATGCATCATCTAGGGCAGGGGTTGCCACCCTTTTTCGCTAGAATACCACTAATTCTAATTTAACACACTAAATGTACCACTAACCAGATGAATTCAGGGAAAAATTATTTATGTTAATATTATATTTTGATTTTCTTACTTAGTTCGCGTACCACTCAACATTGACTCACGTTCCACCAGTGGTATGCGTACCATAGGTTGAGAAACGATAATATAGGGGTTGGACAATAAACATATTAGCAGCCACAGTTCCACAGGCATACTTTCCCGCCTTAACAACAATAAACAATGATTAACCTCAAGAAAATTTGAAGACTTCCCAAATATTATTTTCTAACATGTCAAAGATCTGCCCAGGATTCAAAACAAAGCAGAACTTCCAGGAGCAAATAAGATTGGATTTAATTTTTGTTTTTATTTTCCCGTTTGTCTCCATGAGAGCACGTACATAACATTTTCAGCTCGATCAACCGACTTAGTTCGGTTTGTGAAAGGGAACAAGTCCGGAAAACTCATCAAATTGCCTACTTCGAGTAAAACGAAAACTACCCTAAAAATTTCTTCACCGAAATAATATGCACAACAATCTTCCATCTACTATTTACTTACACTAGTGGACATATTTATGTTAATCGTACTTCAGAATTGGACTTTCTAATAACATAAAAGTCTGTGTGAATGTGAGGAAAATCTATTATGAATCTGACGTAATAGCATTAGCTGTTAAGAATTAGTGGCTTGTTCCTAATTTTGAGGAAAATCTATCATGAATCTGACGTAATAGCATTAGCAGTTAAGAATTAGTGGCTTGTTCCTAATTAACTTGTAATTTACTTTGTATAAACTACGAGATCAAAAAAGAAAATTATAAAACCTTCCTACTGTTCGTTGTGGGAACGCAAAACTGATGTTGCATTTTCCTCTCAAGTTTTGGCACGCGGCCTTAAAAGGGTTCGCCATGCCTGACATAAGCAAAGAATAGCAGTTGTTATTCATGGAGGTTACATCGTGTCCGATTCTAATCGTGCTTCGTGTTACAATCTCTGACGGTATTTTTGTGACCTTTCACTGAGCACGTTATCGAATTTTCATGAAGAATTACTTTTGAAAGCATGGAAAAGTCATGCTTACAGTTTATTTAAATAAATAAATCAGTATCTATAATACATATTTACTGAATGCAAGCTAAAAAGTGTAAAACGAAATTTACAGCTCATATAGAAGTAACTATTTAAGCCATGTACACATTTCAAAAAATTAATCCTATGTTAAATTAAATAGAATTGGTATTAACGTTGATATATACTCTTTAGCGATTCTATGCCCTGTTACTGAAAAATAAATATTTGAACCCAGAAACGTCTGATTCATTTCCAGGATGACCTTAATTTTGGTACCAACGTTGTCCACTGGCCAGTCTAAAGGTATGGGTTCCGAAAATTATTTTTTGCAGTTTTAAAATAAAATATTCTTAACGGGTCTTAAAACTAAACAGATTTAGGATAAGTAGAGTGATATCAAAATTAATGCTAAAGAAATTAGTCGTAATAATATGAATTTTAAAAAACGTTTCTTTGAGAAGTATGCACTGGCGGTTTTGAAATATCCAAGGTAAGAATTTTCATAAGGCATTTCTTCTTAAACAAATGCAATTAATTTCCGTTTGAAAGTATAGTTGCTATTACTTTTCAATTACAGTCCATAAAGTTCCGATGTAAACAATAACTGACATCCTCTCCACATAATGGAAAGAGTCACTAAGCAGCCGGCGGTCATAGGTCTAATGGTTTATGTAAATAGGCCTATCACCTCAGAGCCCGTCCAATGACGTCAGTAACAGAATTCTCTGCTAATTACATATGTCTGTTTTAAGTTTACAATGCATAGTTTCTGCAATATCCAGCTTGTGGTCCATCAACCATCTATATTAATTAATCAACTTACTACTTCAATTAGGAACAAGGTAACTAAATTCTCTGTTACAGAACCCAAACCGCCCCCACGTGAAATGATCAACAGGTAGTTTATTCCACTTACAGTATCCAGAGTTGGCTGCAGGTCGCCTCTCGACATGTGATAACCAATTATTAATGTAATGACAGATATATTATTACGGTCTAATAGCGTACTGGCTTAGTATTTAAAAGACACAGACGTCAATTACAATCGCCATCAATAATCTTGACACAATTAGATAAAACAAAAATTCACAAAAAATACACGTCAGTATCATAGCAATCACTAACCTAAAGACGGAATTTCAGCTAACTCCCGAAACGTCGTAAGATTTGAGGTTCTCATAGTGGTAAGTATTAAGATGACTAT